AACAAAAGAAAGTCAACTTAGTTAAAACATGATAAATTTTAAGAGATTTTTATGACTTTTTATCGATATGAATGGGAAGAAATAGTTCATAATAGTAACAGTCTAGCCTAGTAGATCTGTTGTGTTAGTGTTAATAGTATAGTTGCCAAGTATTCAAGACTACTTAAAAAGTGTCAACCGAAAGAACTGATGGAAACTCAGTAATTTCAGGACTTTTCTTCCCCTTAAAAGAGTTATGTATTTCTAGCTGCAAATGAGCAGGCCAATTTTTCTTTCTACACACATCCCATTCCACTTTGAATCATTACCCACAGCTCCCATGCCTACATCTCAGCCCAGTTTTTCAGTTGAAGCTACTAGTCTGTTTTCTGGGTGTCAAATGCATAATCAAGCCTCCAGGGTGGTAAGCAAGGACACATTGGGTGGGGCAACTTCCTTGGTTTTCCTCTAAGCAACTCCCTCATTTTTTCCAGTTACTCCTGACCTCAAGACATAGCAGTGGCTTCCCACGTTTTGTGGCTTCTCCAAACGAGAGCAGCCTCTACAGAACACCCCAAGTCTGCTCAGAATCTTTAATTGGTAAAATAGACTCCAGGCTCTCCAGTGTGTTATAGAAGTAACTACCAGGATATTATACAATAATCAAAATTAAGACTTTATGGTATTCCAAGAACTCTAGCAGCATGTCAAAATTTGAGTACCAAACTGGCAATTTCTGGTCTTTCTATTGGCAATAATAAAATGCAGTAACTGAACCAAGCCATTATACTAATTGAGAATTTAGACTGCAATACCTCAGAGTCAACCTAGACTGAACCTAAATTTGTAATTACTACACACACATACACATGAACACAATGCACTCACAATTTTCTTGCTAAAGAAAATTGTAAGCAGAGGCAGACACCCATAGTTAAACACTAAACTGAACTCCTGGAACCCAATTGCAGAGAGAGAGAAGTGATGAGCAAAGGGGTCAAGACCAGGCTGGTGAAACCCACAGAGACAGCTGACCTGAACAAGAGGGAATTCATGGACCCCAGACTGATGGCTGAGAGACCACCATGGGACTGATCCAGACTCCCTGAATGTAGGTGTCAGTGATAAGGCCTCAGAAATATATGGGGCCTCAGGTAGCAGATCTCAGTATTTATCCCTGGCAAACAAATGAACTTGGATAGCCTATTCCACATGGAGAGATGCTCTCTCAGCCTGGACACATGGGGGAGGGCCTAGACCCTGACCAGATGATATGACAGACTTTGGAGATCCCCCATGGAGGACCCTCATCTTCCTTGGGAAGGGGTGGGTGGATAGGGTTTGGGTTTGGGGTGCTGGCGGGGGTGGGGAGGAGGGGAGGGAGAGGGAGCTGGGATTGACATGTGAAGCAAGCTTCTTTCTAATTTAAATTTAAAAAGAAAAACGAAAAATATCAACAAACTGCTTTTTTTTCATGTGACATTACTTGATGTTTCTAATATAATGCCTCCTGCATTTTGTCCCAGTGAAGTTTCTTCTGGGCCTGTATAATGGTATCTCATGGCAGATTCTACAAATATCTTTAGTACTGTATGTACATGTACATATATATTAGACCAGCATTTTAAAATGTCCTATAATTTAGAAGAAACATAATCATGGGAAGATTGTTGTAACTTTATCTGAGAAAACAGAACCAGCTGAAACTGAGAAGTTTCCAGGCTAACTTTCTATATCAATCATGTTAGCTATTCAAAAAGCCTTTTTCCTCATACAAGACTTGCATCATATGACTCACTCTCTGAATTAAGGTCTCCCAACTCTCCAATGATGACCAGGTGGACCTTTGTCTGTGACTAACTACCCTGAGTCCAATGGGCCAAATTTAAAGAAAGGAAATCGCTATTAAATTCTATTCGCACAGAATCTAGAGGAAGAACAAAATTTATAAATGACGCAGTAAGAAACAAAAAGTTATCGAGTAATGTGAGAGAACGTGCTGAATTAGTATGAGAGTTGATTTTTTTTTTTTTGGTTTTTCGAGACAGGGTTTCTCTGTATTGTTTTGGAGGCTGTCGGTCCAGCCTGGCCTCGAACTCACAGAGATCCGCCTGCCTCTGCCTCCCGAGTGCTGGGATTAAAGGCGTGCGCCACCACCGCCCGGCAAGAGTTGAATTTTTTTTATCTCATCATATGGCAGAGTAAAATCTTTTAAAACCTGATGATGTCTTCTAGAAACAGCATGCCTTATCTTTCATGGTTCCTGCTCATGAGGCTTCTGTAGTCTCTCAAGTTTTCATTGAAGACCATTTATCCCATAGCTCATCATGGAAAGGAAAGAACCTTCTAAGATGATGCAAAACACAACAGCCACTATTGACAGGACCTTACACATTATGGTACATCCTTTAACCCACACAAATCAATGTTTCCAGACTTATGAAAGTTTATACTATTCTGGGAGTATTGAACATAGTTTGTGGGTTTTTTTCCAAGCAGACAATGAGGACAACAGTCTGGCTTATGACTTTACAATCTTGTCATTAAGCACCTTGCTTAGACTAGGGTAGAACCTCGAAAAGCATCTGTCACAAAATTATCCTATTAGGTCTGCTTATGAGAAAAACAGGTTGTTTAGTCTGATTAACATTATTCAGTATTCCCCTATTATCATGTTGTGTATTCTATGCTCCCCCAAAACAGGTATGAGTAATAAAGAAAGTCAATGTCATCTATTACTTGAAAAATAATGAGTTGGTAGTAGTACTCATGAGAACAACAGTTATGTGCTGTGGAATATTATTCTAACTGGGCAAAGATTTGCTACATTTGTTTATGCTATAGACTATTGTTTTAACTCTGTAAAGGTGTGCTACTTTTGTTTATGCTGCATTTGTATAATGATTGTAATGATGTGTGAATAAAAGGCTGAATGGTAAATAGCTATGCAAGCAGGGAGAGATGGGACTGGCAGAGAGATTAAGTAGGAGGAGGAATATAGCCATGGGGAAAAGGAGAAAAGAAGGAGAGAAGGAGGAAGAGAGAATATGGTAGACACCCTGGGTCAGGAGTCAGACAGCCCACCGGCTGTCAGACATAGAGAAGCAGTGAAAGCAAACTATACAAAAGTAAGGAGGGTAATAAGTACCTAGGCAAAGATAAATAAAGAGAAACAGGTTCATTTATGTTAAAAGAGCTAGGCTGAGCACTCAAAACTAATAATAAGTGTTGTGGAATATTATTTAAAGATCTGTTACATTTGTTTATGCTGTGGAACATTTGTTTCAATCATGCAAAGATGTGTTGTGTTTTTTTATGTTGCATTTGTTTAACTCTGTGATTCTGTGATTCTTTGCCTGTCCTAAACACCTCATGGTCTAATAAAGAGCTGAATATCCAATACCAAGGCAGGGGCAAGGATAGGCAAGACCGGAAGGCAGAGAGAATAAACAGGAGAAATCTAGGAAGAAAGGGGAGAAAGAACAAGGGAACAAGAGGAGGAGGACTCCAGGTGATGGCCACCCAGCCAGATGGCCAGCTGTGGAGTAAGAGTGAACAGAAGATACATAGAAGTAAGAAAAAGCCCGGAGGCAAAATGTAGACAGAGCATAAATATTGACAAGTATAGTTTTGGAGCCTATCCTGGAACTTACTCTGTAGACCAGGCTGACCTCAAAGTCATAGAGATTTGCCTGCTTCTGCCTCCCAAGTGCTAGGATTAAATACAGGATAATTTAAGTTAAGAAACCCTGGATAGAAATGAGGTTGGACATTCTTAAGTAAGAAAATGTCTCCCTGTGTGATTTATTTGGGAGCTGGTGACAGGCCCCCCACAAAGTAGTAAGAGTAAAAAAACTAACAACAAAAAATAAGTCTCTGTGTCATGATTTGGTAGCTGGTTGGTGGCTTAAAAGTAAAAGCTTGGCACAAGTATGTGCTTCTGTCTCTACTCAGACTTATTGAAGCTATAACAATTCATTCTTTTTGTAAGAAATACTATGAAAAGCCTACGAAGTTATCAAATTATCAAGTGAGATGCACGTTTTAGAATTGAGTAAATGGAACTGAATGAGCACATATTCTAATATCCCAGGATTAAATGGTCATCAATTATTGATACTCACTTCAGTATTGCTGATAACAGTACGTTGCAATGCTTGCATGTAAGTGGGTACAACATCAGAGACGTAATCAATACTAATAAATCGGCATGTGAGATATTTGCCGTAGGACATAATGAGAATTGTTGTTCAGGAGCCAGGATTGAAGGCATTCATGATTAGGTGCATTGAATATTCTTTGTCAGGATTTCTCCATCTGGGCACTTTCTCCTTACACTATAAGTCTACTAAATATTCTTTAGCTGAGGATGAGAATAAAGGTCAAAGTTCATATAAAGTCCAAAGAATTATTTATGGCATATATGCCCCTATTAACTCTTGCAAAGGGACTAGAGTAGTTATTATTATAGTTTAAAGTGCTGAACTGACTAGCAAAGGGTGTACATCTGCCAACATAAAGAAACTGAAGCTTTGAAGCCCATGTTCCGAATTCTGAGTTCTTCAGTTTGTAGATTAGAGATTGGCCTTCAAGATGTAACCCTATTTGAGGATTCACTAAAGTAGAATCTGGCTGACTTTACTTCTCTATACACTTAAAATATTGTAGTTCTACTAAACCTGTTTCATGCATATATATAATATGTAGTTAAGATTTATTTATATTACCTTTGTGAATATTATATTTACATGCTTATGTATATACATAAGCATGAAGCAAGTTTAGTAACTTTTCTTTGTATCACATGTATCTGTATATACCTATATTTATGTATGTTAATAAAGGATACACATAATAACATATTTACTCTCCTAGCAGTAATCTTTTTAGTCTAAACACTAGCTTACCATCCTTGTATGACTTGTCAAACTTCATAAAATGATCAAACTCTACATACAGATAATATTTTAAATCTTTTCCTTAAAATTTTTATTTACATTTATTTATTTTATGTGTTTCAGAACATGAGTATGGTCTGAAGATTGATCTCAGGACACCAAACTCAACAACATGGGCCTTTACCCAAGAGACAGCATGTTGTCTCAATTTTTAAAGTATTTTCAGTGATATAAATAATACATCATAAAGGAAAGTTTTACATGAATATAAAAGGTTACTCAAGACTAAAAACTCCAAAACATATAACTGTTTTTGCTTAAAACTGCCTGAACTTTCCTCCTCACTAATGTGTGCATAGTTGTAATTATTATATGACTGATTCACTTTTTGTCTTACTTCATTTTCATCTTGCTGATACACACACACACATACACACACACACACACACACACACACACATAACTGGTGTTTCAAGCGATTCTTTCTTTTCAGTTTTTGTTCCCCATAACTGTATGTAATAGTTCTAAAAATAATTAATTGACTGACTTAAAAAATACAAAAAAAGGAAATTTAAATCTCTTTAAGTTCTACAATGGAGACATCTTGAACAAAGGGTAGAATTTTACTGAATGTCTATAATAGCTTTGGGCTTGCTATAATATATACATATATTATATAAATATATAACATTATATTATATATATTACACATTAGAGTACTACGAAGCTGTAAAATTATGACCGCATGAAATTTGCAGACAAATGTATGGAACTAGAAAAAAATCACCTTGAGTAAGGTGATTCAGACTCAGAATGACAAACACAGTATGTATTTACTCATAAGTAAATGTTAGATGTAAAGAGAAGGATAACCAGACTATAATCCAGACAAGATAGATAACAAGGAGGACCCTAAGAGGGACACATGGATCGCTCTGGGAAGAGAAATTAGATTAGACCTCTTGGGTAAACTGAGGACAGGATGCAGTAAGGGAGAGTGGAGGGGGAAAGAAAACATGCACATAAGGGAACAGGATGGTCAAGGGATGAAGTGGAAGGCGCAATAAAGAGATATCTGAATAAAGAAGGTGCTAGTCTAATTCCAAAGAATCCACAAGGATGATCACAGTTAAGACTCCTAGCAACAGTGGAGAAGATGCCAGAACAGTTCTACACCTATAATCAGGTGGGCGAACACCCCAACTATTATTATAGAGCCTTCATCAAGTAATCTATGGAAACAGATGCAGAAATCAACAACCAAGAACCAGGCCGAGTTACAGGAATCCAGTCAAAGAGAGGAAGGAGGAAATATATCAGCATGTGAGGTCAAAATGAACCTGGAGAAATCTACAGACAACTGAACCAGCTGGAGGAAACTGATGAACTCTAGACCTACAGCTGTGGAGACTCCAGGGAACCAAACTAGTTAGTCTCTCTGTATATGGGAGACCTTGTGAAGCTTGGGCTATCTGAGAGGCCCCTGGCAGTAGGACCACAATACAAACCTGATACATAAGCTATCTTGTTTGAGGCAGTTTCCTGTGGTGGAACACCATTCTCAGCCTTAATGTATGGGAGAGTACCTTGGCCATGCCCCAACCTATTTTGCCAGATTTTTTTTGACTCCTCATGAGAACCCTTATCTAAGAGGAGGAGTGGATGGGGGGGGCAACTGTGGGGAAAATGGGAAGACAGAAGAATGGATGGGAGGGACAACTGTGGTTGGAATGCAAAAGAATAAATTATATAAAAAATGTTCCCTTCAAAAATCCCATTAATGCTAATGCTTCTTCTGATTTTAAGTACTAATCTAATGTTGTTAATCTTTTTTTCATTTTTTTAATTTAAATTGGAAAAAATCTTGCTTCATATGTGAACCCCAGCTCCCTCTGCCTCCCCTCCTCCCCTGCCTCCCCCAATGCCCCAAACCCCTACCCACTCCCCACTACACTCTCCAGGGAGGGTGAGTCCTTCATGCGGGATCTCCAAAATCTATCATATCATCCAGCGCAGAGCCTAGGTGACCCCATGTGTCCAGGATGAGAGAGCATCCCTCCATGTGGAATGGGCTCCCAACGTCCATTTGGATGCCATGGATAAATGCTGATCTAGTACCTGAGGCCGCAAAGATTGCCGAGGTCTCCTCACTGACATCCATGTTCAGGGGGTCTGGATCAGTCCCATGCTGGCCTCTCAGCGATCAGTCTGGGGTGCATGAGCTCCCCCCTTGCTCAGGTCAGCTGTTTCAGTGGGGTTTACCCACCCAGTCTTGACCCCTTTCTTCATCACTCCTCCCTCTTTGCAACTGGGTTCTAGGAGTTCAGTTCACTGTTTAGCTGTGGGTATCTATATGCCTCTGCTTCCATCAGTCACTGGATGAAGGCTCTAGGATGGCTTACAAGGTAGTCGTCAATCTCATTATCAGGGAAGGACATTTAAGGTAGCCTCTCCACTATTGCTTAGATAGCCAGTTAGTGTCATCCTTGTAGATCTCTGGAAATTTCACCAGTGCCAGATCTTTCCTCAAACCTATAATGACTTCCTCTATTATGGTATCTCTTATCCTGCTCTCCTCTATTCTTCCCCTGACTCAAGCTTCCTGCTCCCCGATGTCCTCCTCTCACCTTCTTTTCTACCCCTCACTTTTCCACAGCTCCTTCTCCCCTCCCCACCATGCTCCCAGTCCACTCAGGAGATCCTGTCCTATTCCCCTTCTCTTGGGATACCATGCATATCTCTCTTAGGGTCCTCCCTGTTTCTCAAACACTCTGGCAGTGGTATTGTAGGCTGGCACTACCCTGCTTCATGTCTAAAATCCATATATAAGTGAGTACATACCATGTTTGCCCTTTTGTATGTTAGTATATATACATTGTTATTATTTGCCTTCATTGTCTTCTTGTATTTCCTTCAGCATAGAGACTACATTACTAGTCATATTTAAACTGTTTCACAGCATAATTCATTTCCTATTATGTTGCCACAATTAATACTCTGTGTTTATGTTCATCCCAGAAAAGTGCCAACTGAGGTATAGCATTACTCTGTTGACCAAAGGTCAACAGTCAAAAACTTTTATATTCAATGCTTACCAAGTTTATATTTTATAAGCATTTAACACTTTGCTATGAATTCAGAGGTAATGAGAGAATGATTTAGAGAAGAGATTAAATGTCTCTTTCTCATAATTATGAAGACTTTTATATACCTTTATAGTGACTTGCAATGGAGGTTTGCTGTACTGATAGATTTATATTCATGTTTATGCTCATAAAAGTTATATAAAAATCATTAGAATTTGTACTGTGAGCCTTCAAAACCTCACCTGTTTCAGATATATTGGACTTTTAAATACAAATAATGATTTATATCTTAAAATACAATCAGCTTGTAGCCTAATTTCGTAGGTCTATGAATTGCCATGAACTCTTCTTGTATTCTCTACATGGGAATTTTTCAATATTATCTTAAAATTCTGTTTAGCTACTCTTATCTAATGCTTCATGACTAAACATCATAGAGAACTGTGATGGTGAGCATGTGGGGTTCATGATCTCTCCAATTGAAAACTATTTCCTCAGGGAGAAGGCACAGTTAAGTAAACTGTGTTAATCTGGTTGGAAAAAATTACTACTCTTCAAACATGAGATTGCTTCTTTTCATGGGACATTCAGCTTACCTACTAAATTTTTGGGTAAATAATGATGACATTAATGATAATATATTTAAGAGCTCTCTAACCATTTGGCTGGAAAATGTCCCCATATGGAAATCAGCCATTGGAACTATATTATGCTTTCGGTTAACAGAGTTTCATTTCCTCCAGGGCTTCTCAGTAAATATTATTTGTTGATAATGGCTTATGAAACAATATGCATAGTTTTACAGCACTGACAATTGTGTTCTCACAAGCATGAAATGCTGCTGGCATAATTTTGAAGAGCTCGCATAGTTCTGTGTATCTTCAATGCCTAGTCCCCTTCAAGAGCTCATCTTATTTTTAACCGTGTCATCCTTGTTAACATTTTTAAACTGAAGTCTCATGAATACTGAATGCACACAAGGAAACTAATGAAAATATGAGAAATTTTGTGCAAATAAAATAATAAAATGGTCTATTGTGTGTATGGGGAGGACAATGGAAAAGATAACATAAAACACACACAAATTGCTCAAATTTTCTCCATAAAGGATTTAATTCAGAGCTTTTATACATTTTTACATAACATCAAAATTAATTTCAATGAAATTTGATTGAATGTTCTCAATGAAGTTTGATTTTTAACTTCATTGAGCTAAATACTGAATTCAAACAATAAGGAAAACAAAATTTCACCTATGCATTAGACATGGCTAGACCTAACTAGCCAAAGTCTTAAGTAAAGAGTCTAATCCTAAACATCTTAGCACCCTTCTCATTTGTTATTATTATGAATATCAAGTAGAACCTTCATGCAGGTAGTCTATCTTTTACTCTATTTTCAATTCTGTAACTTTTCAGTGAGGTTACTTGAAGCTTGAAACCATAAGCACAAGCAGGTAGTGAAATTTAAACATAAACTAGGGCAGGATCAAAATTTAAATTGGATTTAAAAAAGAAAGAAAACATCTGACCTAGTGCATATAGTAATTTCTGACCTTTTCTGTGTGTGTTTAAAGGACCCAATATAAAGTATGATTATCTGAATTTCAAAATTTGTCAGAATACAGAATATATTTTTAACTTCCCCAAAGTAAATTTCTGGAACAATGAATATATTGATTCATCCAAGTTACTACCACTTGAAGAAAATATCATTATTGCAATATTTTCAATCTCCATGATAGTGAATGAGATTACAGGATAATAAAAATACTTACAAAGAATAATACTACTAGCACAGAGGAAAACTTTTAACTTTGCCTGAAGTCATAAACTCAATTCTTCTACATGATGGAGAAGACAAGGAGACCCATTCCCTGTTGAGAATTCTCCATAGGCTGACTCCCAATGTATGGAATTCATTAGAAGTGTACTGTACTTAATCATAAAGCATGTACACATGGGGTGTTTTCTTACAAGTCACTTCAATAGTACACTCCATATCACATGCTTGAGTCATACAACATAGACAGTTCAAGCTGATACTGACCTGGAACATTTATCCCTACTGACTATGCTTAAAGCTTTAAAGGGTACTATTTGTACAAAGTTATTATCACTCACCTGTGAACTCTGTATTTAAAACAGTTACTGCTCAGTAAAGACACATCCGCTGTGAAACCGTACCATGAATTACAGAATTAAACAACTACTGTCTGATTGTACTTAGTACCAGTCCACAAGAGGTAGCCTCTGCCTGGTGCCGTTATAGGGCCAAGAACCTATGCTTAGGAAAATCATAGACTCTAAATTAGAAACTACTACTGTTATTCTGATGAATGCACAGTGTATTAAACCAAATCATAATGATATATCCATAGATTACACCATCTCATAACTCTTGTCAGGGAAGTTTCTGTTTGAAATAGATGAAAATCAAGAGACCCACAAGAGGCCAAGGTGAAGAGAATTAGAGACTTCAGAATGTTCAGGACTAAATGCAGCATATATATCTACTCCTTACTGCAAAATCTCAGGGATTATTGTAAAAGAGTGGACAGAAAGAGTATATGAACCAAAGCAGCAGGATGACTATTGACTTCTGGTCAGAGCAGGGCAACTCACAGCAGTTGTGACAGCATGCAAGAGACCAGTGCAAGAGTAAGCTAGAGCAGTCTCAATATAGAGAGGAGAGTTGGAAATGAAAATCTACCCCAGAGCCAAGAAACTACAGGTAACTGTTAGTTAGCTTCTAGAAAAACAAGGGTCAATTTTCTATAACAGCATAGTCTCTGATAGATTGTCCACACTCCAGTAGAAGGTAACATTTCTAGGAATGTTGGGATACATTGATTGGCCTTAGGGGACAAAAAGGAAGAAAGAAATGAAGGCAGGAAGAAAGAAAGAAAGAAAGGATGAAATAAAAAGAGAATAAATGAGAGAGAGAGAGAAATGGGCACAATGGTGGGTGGAGAAAGAAGGAGTGGTTGGATTGGAGTAGGAGTAAGGGTAGGGATGATGAATATGATCAAAAATTACACAACACAAGACCCCAACCCCAGCGAGTCAAGCTTCAGGTGAGATTGGGTGTCCGGCGGGGACCGCCCACCCATCCCCCATCCCCTTGATCTTCTGGGCCGCTCCTGGCAGCCAGAAGACCCGCCCACACAGGAAAGACATCAGCCCTTCCAAGACCGCAACCCCAGCGAGTACAGCTTCAGGAGACCTGCCCACACAGCAAAGAAGTCAACAATTCCAAGACCCCAACCCCAGTGAGACCAGCTTCAGGAAAGACATCAGCCCTACCAGGACCCAAACTCCATGTCAGCATCCCCAGCTTCAGCTGCAGGAAGGAAGAAGACCAGTGGAGATGGAAAGACCCCACCAGCACCCACTGAAAGAAGAGATGGGAAGAAGACAGAATAAGAGATCACTCAGCAATAGAAACACCAACATGACCCCACCAGAACCCAGGGATCCAACACCAGCAAGACCCGAAAAGCACTACATAGACGAAGAAGAGGAGACAGACCTTAAAAATTATTTCATGTAGATGATGGAGACCCTCAAAGAAGAAACGAGGAAATCCCTTAAAGAAATAGAAGAAAAAACAAACAAAAAAATCCATGAAATGGGGGAAAAATTCAAGAAATAAACAAATCTCTCAAAGAATCTAAAGAGCACCAAGAAAGAACAACCAAAA